CACTGGAGGAGGGGGTGCTTCCGGGTGACTGGAAAACTGCTGTAGTGGTGGCGTTACACAACGTGGTAGTAGACCAAACCCGCAGCATTACAGGCCGGTTAGCTTAACTAGTATTCTATGCAAGTGCATGAAAAAGCTAATCAGGACGCATGTCTTTATCCACCTTTTAGAGTATGCATTACTTAGCATGGCCCAGCATGGCCTTATGAAAAACCGGTCGTGCCTGACAAACCTCTTATGCTACGTAGACGAAGTCAGAGAGGGGGTAGACAAAGGAAAAACAGTAGAAGTATGTTACCTAGATTTCAGTAAGGCGTTCGATTCCGTAAGTCATAGACTGCTTCTACATAAGCTAAGTTTTTTCGGAATCACAGTAACAATATTTAAGTGGATGGAAACATTCTTGACCAATGGGACATTTTGCGTCAGGGTAGGAGAACAAACATCTCAAGTCCTTAATGACACATGTGGTGTGCCACAAGGGTCGGTGTTAGGCCCGCTTCTATTTCTGCTGTTCATAAATGATCTAGCAGAAATTACCAGCTCACCTTGTTTCATCTTCGCTGATGATGTAAAGGTGGTTGGATCTAGCGGCAGAGTTGACTTAGAAGAGGATATTGCAAAGGTGATGAAGTGGTCCCAAACATGAGATCTGCCACTAAATGCAAAAATAAGTAAGTTACTTTCTAGAACTGGGGAGTTATTGAAGGCTCTCGAGAACTGCGGGCAATTCGAAGTAGGCACTGTAACCAGTGCCTGGGATCTAGGAGTCATCGTAACTGCCGGTTACAGTTCGAGTACCCAATGTGAAGCTGCAGCACACATGGCAGGACGACAGTTATTTCGACTAAGGTAAACAGTTTCGTGTAGGAAAGCGGATTTATTTATACCCATTTACAAAGCCATCGTAAGGCTTCACCTAGAATATTGTGTTCAGGCTCAAGTCTGACCAATTGGTCACCCTTCTACAAAAAGGACGTAGCCTGTATGGAGACTAGCAACGGGGATGGTTGGGGGTATGCGGGGTAAAACATACAAAGAAAGGTTGTACACGCTCGGTCTTTTTTCGTTAGAAAAAGGAGATTGCGCGGATACCTCAAAGAAGTATTTAAGATTAAGAAAACTTTTCTGGGTTTAGATCCGGGGTCCTTCTTCACTGAGGCTCTCCACCAAGGAAAGCGTGGATGTGAGATCAATCTTGTGAAACAGCGATCTAGGCTGAACTCACGAGCACATTTCTTTGCAATAGGGTAGTGGAAAATTGGAATAGGCTACCGTCGGAACTGATTATGCAGCCAAAAGAGCCCTGGACGCCAGATGGTTGGAGGTCTTCCCTGACACAGACGGTTAGGTGCATAAATTGTTTGTGGGTTATATGGAACGTTTTCGCAGTAAAAGTCTCTCGTCGACACGGCGAAAAGTAAAGTTCAGTTCAGTTCAGTTTAGTGTGCACAGGACGAAATGTGCCTTCCAGCCATCCGAGCGTCCAGATTGTTGTGTTGTTGCCGGGTGTTTGTAGCTTCCAACACTGCGTATTGTCAATTCCAGCGATCGACCGTTGGTGGGTCTAGTTGTCTCTGTCCTCAGTATACGTTCCCAGCATGGTGCTTCTGAAAAATAGGCAGATGAGACTCAGCGGTCTAGGCCTGGGCCAAGCTGCCATAGGTTAGTATGGATAACCCTGATCCTGACCACTGACACCTGGCGGAATTGTCATAAATTGTAAAATGTTGGTACCTGGTAGATTCACAGAAAATACCTAACAGAAAACACCTTTCTCTAGCATACATTCACATCTGTAACGTCAGACATTACCGGCTAGCTTCTTACTTTTCAGTAGGCCGCTTCTGGGTACACCGTTCTCCAACACTTATCCAGTGCGGTCTTGAATGCCACTACCGTGCTGCATCTAACCACGTGTTCTGGTAGCCTATTTTACAGTGGGATCACCTTGTTGGTGAAGAACCTTGCCCAAAGTTGCAGCCTACTGTGATGACGCTGGGGTCTAAAGCTATACCTTCTGGTGCCACTTGCCGGGATCGCAGAGAATAGCTCCTCGCTTTTGATGCCAGACAAACCGTTCATTATTTTGAACGTTTCAATTAAGTCCCCCCTCATGCGTTTGTGTCGAAGGTAAAACAAGTTTCGTTCCTTGAGTCTGTCCTCGTAATCTTTTTGGTTCTGACCAAATACCATTCGGGTGGTTAGCCGTT